CCTATGAAGGAGGACAGTGGTGGGAGAGTGATGGCAGAGGGTGGGGTGGGAACTGGGTGGAGGGGAGCCATGGGGGGAAAATAGAGGAACAACTGTAATAATCTGAACAATAAGGATTTAATCAAAAAAAGAAAAGAAAAAAAAAGCGAAGGGAGGTCTTTCTTTTTGAAGGTAAAAATACCAGATAGAACTAGGATCTTCAGGAAGGTAAGGAAAATGTCAATGGTAAATATTTGAGTAAACAAAGATTTCTACTTTAAAAATACATTCTTGTGGGATTTACAATGTATGTAGACACAATATGCATGTCAACCATAGTTTAAAAATGGGAAGGGCGCCCTAACCGGTTTGGCTCAGTGGATAGAGCACTGGCCTGTGGACTCAAGGGTCCCAGGTTCGATTCCAGTCAAGGGCATGTACCTTGGTTGTGGGCACATCCACAGTGGGGGGTGTGCAGGAGGCAGCTGATCGATGTTTCTCTCTCATTGATGTTTATAACTCTCTATCCCTTTCCCATCCTCTATGAAAAAAAATCAATAAAATGTATTTTTTAAAAATGGGAAGAGCTTAGAAATTTCATATGAAGTAATATAATATTAACTCTAAGTAGACTGTGAAAAATAAGGGTGCATATTGTAATGCCTATGGCCATGGTCGGCAAATTGCGGCTTGCAAGCCACATGCGGCTCTTTGGCCCCTTGAGCGTGGCTCTTCCACAAAATACCACATTTGGGTGCGCACATACAGTGCAATTGAAACTTTGTGGCCCATGCATAGAAGTTGGTTTTTGGCCTGGGCGAGTCTATTTTGAAGAAGTAGTCAGCAAACTGCGGTCTGTTGACTAATGAGTTTGCCAACCACTGACCTAGCTGGTTTGGCTCAGTAGATACAGTGTCAGCCCGTGGACTGAAGGATCCCACGTTTGATTCCAGTCAAGGGCATGTACCTCTGTTGCAGGTATTAACATATAGTGTAAGTTTAAAAAATTTGGCTCTCAAAAGAAATTTCAATTGTTGTACTGTTGATATTTGGCTGTTGACTAATGAGTTTGCTGACCACTGGCCTAGGGGAACAACTTAAAAGATAACAGCAGAGGAGGTATAATTTAAAAGCCAATAGATAAATTAAAATGGAATTCTAAAATACTCAACCCCAAAGAATGCAGAAAAGAAGAATAACGGATAAAAACACACCAAAAACAGTGAAATGTCTATGTGCTTAAATCCATCCATATCAATAATTATCTATGATATGTATAAAAGGCTGTCTGTCCGTCTGACTGGTAGGTATGATACGCACTGACCACCAGGGGGCAGATGCTCAACGTAGGAGCTGCCATGACGCGAATTGGCCATTTAAAAATAAACAGCACCATGGGCCTGGCACCGACAAACGAACACTCGGCTTCCCCCACACGGGACACAGGCCCTGCCACCACCTGAATTGCAGCCAAGGCTGGCGAGACCCCCTGGTGCAAATGCGGCCCACAGAACAGCCCAGCCCAGCCTGGAAATGGTGGCTGTGGGAGCCGGGTAATGACAGCGCGTAGCAACGCCTGGCTTCCTCTCCCTAGCAACTAGCCTCCTTGCAGTTTCTTCAGCCCAGGAACCTGACTTGCTTTATAGCCAGCTGCAAACATTTCACACTGTAATCAAATGTTTGTGAAGCGTTTTTACATGCCTCATCTCATTTGGTCCTCACAGAAGTCCTGGAGTACGTAGACAGGAGACTTGGTAGAATCCTATTTTTCTTTTCATTAGCAAGACGCAAATAGCAATATTAAAATATTTCTTCTAATTCATTTCCTTTCAATGTGCACAAATCCGTGCACCAGGACACTAGTATTTTAAACATCTTTTATATTTTGGATGGTAGAGACTGTATAGTTTTTTTTGGCTCAGTTACTTTTATTTCTCAGAAGCCTTTTGAACTTCAAGAACATAGGGCTGAGTTTACAGCGAAGGGCTCGATTCCCACATTCACGTCACTCAAAAACCCACTGTGTGTGCCGGGCTCAACCTCATGCCGGCCCGTTCAGATCTCAGGTGACCTCAACGTGTCAGTAGGGAGTATGAACAACCCCGCCCCCTTTTAACATATAAGAAACTGTCCCAGGATGAGTGTTATATAATTTCCCAGAATCCTCTTCAGGAATGGAACCTTTTGTTGAGAGGAGAAAGACGCAGGCACAGAAAACATTCTGAATAAAGCATTCTTTTGGAACGGGACAGAGGCTTGATAAACTGTCACTTAGGTCTAACAATACAGTTTACTATCTTCTAAGGGTCATTAATCAGTTGTTTTCCCTCTAGAATACAATCTTTCAGAGATAAATTCCAGAGTGTAGATAACTAGTGTAGAAAATCATCATTACCAGTTTGGTGTGTGTCCTTCTCCAACTAGGTCAGATGCTAAAGACAAGTTTCAAAAATATCCGAACTGTTTCTGAATTCAGCTTTGATCTTGATCAAAATTTAATCTGAAACACTGAAGCAACATGGGGAATTCACTGTTGCTCAACTTAAGTTCACCAGGCCCTCCTGCAGTATAGGAGGCCTCAAGATGGGAATGTAGCCACATGTCTGTCCATCACTCACTTAGTTCCCAGTCCTGCCTCCTCTTGCTTTGCCTTCTTTTTCCACCTCTTACTCATTTCTAATTCTTAATATAGCATAAATACAGAAATAATTTTGTTTGCTGTACTTATTAAACAGTTTTGCTGTACTGATTTTTTTTTAAGCAAACAGAACATTTTATAACTTATTTTACAACCACATAAAGCTACCTTGATGTATGTAGCCTCTTTAAGAAAAACAATCTCCTTAACCCTGTATTAGTAAAATGAAAGGCACTCAGGTATGGATTATCTGTCCATACTTCCACCTGCGCCTTCACTCCCACTCCTTCTCCAGGGAAAATCACACCACCAGTTCGGTGTGTGTCCTTCTACAACACTATGTCTTACATGCAAAACTACATATAAAAATCAATAACCTTTTGTGTGAGGGATTAATATGAATGGGAGTACTTGTTCATATCATATGGAACCTGCTCTTTTCCCACTTAACAGTGTCTGGATGAGCTCTCCCCTTTACTACATATAGACCTACCTCATTCTTTTCAATGGCTAATTCGTATTCCATGGTTTAATGTTCAGCCATTATACCTTAAGGGTAGAAAGTTACCTCCAATGAGATATATGCTGCACTCCTTTGCTACTTCTGAGAGCTTCTGTGTGGATTCACCGGGAATTTTCTCTGCATATTCAGGAAAATAGTTCGTGCCATATGGAGAATTAAAGCATTCCTAGAATAATGTTAGCAGAGAAAAAGAGAGAGAAAAAACATCAGAACACCCAACCCATTTTAAAGTTCTGCTGTAAGACAGAGCTGCTGCTTCTAGCTCTGCTCTGAAAGGGATAAAACACAGCTGATTAAACACACACACACACACAACAACAAAACAAAACAAAACAAAAAAAACAAAACAGTGAGGTCCCAGGGTTGCAGAGCCTATAGCCACAGGCAGGTCTCAGCAGTTGGGTCAGGTGGGGCTTAGAAGAGACAAGGCACCTGTGCTCAGCCAGACCCTGCTCATCTTGGCAAAAGGTGGGAACGGCCTCTCCCTCGAGTCTACAGGAGAGCTGCACATTCCCAGGGCACCTAGGCCCACTGCAACGGGCTTACTCTCAAGACTTCGTTAGGATGAATCCATAGGCTCAAAATTATATTAACTATGTAAAGCAATAAAGCCTGAGATTGGAAAAATACAGGAGCTTTGAAAGCCACAGATGTTAAGACATTTCCTCATCGGTAAAATGAACTGTTTCTAAGCTCCCTTCCAGCTCTATCATCCTGATCCTGCAGAATCTCACTTCCCAGGACACATCTGTCTGCCACAGCTGTAATAAAGAAAAGCACAAACCACTAGACTTCGACTCTAATTCATTTGCCTTGCATTTACTGAGATTGCCTGTGCACCACACACTGTGCTACGGAACTCAAGCTTACCAGCTTGTACAAAACGTATGTCAGACAGAGAAGCAGAGCTGAATTCAAGTGCTTCACTCCTGGTCTTTAACTCTAATGCCCAGGCAACACAAACCAACAAGAGGCCATGATTAGGGTACAAGTACAGGTGAGTCCCAGGACTGGAGTGGTAACGAAGACGGGTTAACATTAAGATCTCAAGCTCCCCTGTTAAAGATTCCTACTCACTGGCCATATCTGTGATGGCCTGGAGCCCAATATACAAGGCAGCCCTGAAAATTCTCCAGTCAATCTAAGCAGGGTTTTCAAAGGGCTGCCTCTTCCCCATGGAGGGTGAGAGTGGGGAAGGGGCTGTCTGGAATTAGTTCCACCACTGACCCCGCAGGATCCTTCTCTGGAGCTAACCCCCTACTTGATGACAAGCAAATGAGGTGCAACCTTCAGCTGGTTGTTTTAAAAGAAATCACCTAGAAAAGAGATGCAGAATCCTACATTTACAAAGACACCACAGGCTTCCTAAACGTCTCAGAATAGTTTCAGTTTTTAAAAATTTGTTTTAAATGTGGGAGGTTTAGCTCTAAAATCAATACATCCTGGTCCTATAAAGAATTATACAAGGTGAGAAACCAAGATGGCGGCATAGGTAAACACCAGAAATTGCTGCCTCGCACAACAACTTCAAAAATACAACTAAAAGGCAAACCGGACATCACCCAGAACCACAGGAAGGCTGGCTGAGTGGAAATTCTACAACTAGAAGGAAAGAGAAAAGCAGACTGAGACTCAGAGGAGGTGCGGGAGTAAAGTGCAACGGTACGGAGGCACACGCAGAAAGGGCTGGCAACTGAGGACAAGGTTGTCTTTTTCAATCCGGAGGGAGACACAAGCTCCCGACTGCTCTGAACTCCAGTTTCGGGCGAGTCTCTGGGGACATGCGGGGAGAAACTGGACTGTCTGGCATTGGTCGGAACTCGAGGGTGGCTTTCTCTCAGAGGTGCTTGCAGCGATTACTGTGACACT